GCCTCGGCTCCCACACAAGCTGGGAGACGGCTGTGTCCAGTGCCACAGTTACTGGGATCACCACCAGCGTGGACGCCGGGCAGCTGGACTCTTCTCAGAAGCCTGGGGGATGCCACGGCTGCCAGCTTCTTGACACTGGAGTAGAAATGGGTGCCAGTTTGATTCGCCATGCTCCTGGGTTTCCTCAGGATTGAAACAACTTTGTTGTTTCCACTTTTGCAGTATTCTCTTGGTTTTTGGGGTTTTTTTGGTACTGGGGATCGAACTCGGAACCTTGCCCTTGCGAGGCAGGCGGGGGAACCAGTAAGCTAAATCCCTGGCCCTTTCTTGGTTTTTTGAGACGGGGCCTCACTGTATAGGTCAAGCTGGTCTCAAATTCACATCAACCCACCTGCCTCAGCCTCGTGAGTAGAGTGATTGCAGGTGAGTGCTATCAGCCCCAGCTTTGGGTGTGTGTCTTTTTTTACTTTGAGAAACACTGGGGATTGAGCCCAGGACTGAGCTACATTCCTAGCCCTTTATTTTTATTTTTTATTCTGAGATGAGGTCTCACTAAGTTGCCCAAAGCTGGGCTGGAACTTGTGATCCTCCTGCCTCAGCCTTGCAGAGTGCTGTAATGACAGAGTGCTCCACCACACTCAGCTTGGCTTTGTATCTTCATTGCACTTAAAGGTTCCAAAGTTTTTGTGAATCCCCCAAATCTTGAAATTATGTGTACATTGTTCGCATTTTTTTCTGCTGGAGGCAAGCTAACAGCCAGTTGTTTAGCCATTAAGGCAGAGAAAGTCCCTCTGATAAGAAAGCTCCCTTTTAGGCACGAAGGGTAAGCCTGCCCGGGGACACAGGACCTCAGAAGGGACAAACCCTGCTCCTTGTTTCCCTGATAGAGGGACAGAGGTCTGGAGGTCCAGAGTTCCAAGCCTGGCTGGCAGGTCACAGGCAGAGGCTGCAGTGTGGCCCTGGGAGGGGCTGGAGGTGACTGAGTCTAATCAGCCATCTCCTTGCAGTCCACAGTCCTCCTGGGGCCTCGGTGAGAGTTCAGGCGCCAGCTTGGCAGGATTCCAGGCTGTTCCCCTCCACCTTGGGCTGGCCCGCCCCTCCCCCTCCCAGGAACTGTCCTCCTAGGGAGGGGCCCGTTCACATTTGAGGTGGCCCCCTCCCCTCAGGAGCTGGGGGCTGAAAGGAAGGAGCGGCTTGGCCAAGAATTAGAACTTCACACATCGATGCATAAGGATAAGCCAGGTGTGATGGTGCATGCCTGTAGTCCCAGCATTCAGGAGGCAGGAGGATTGCTGGGAGTTGGAGGCCAGCCATGCATAGTGAGACCCTGTCTCAAAAAACAGAGCCAGGCATGGTGGCGCACCCCTGAATTTTCAGCACTTGGAGGCTGAGACAGGAGGATCAACATGAGTTTGAGGCCAATATGAACGGCATAGTGAGATCCTCCTCAAGCCCCCACCCCCACCCCAAAACAACTAAAAATACAGGGCTGGGGATTTAGCTCAGTGGCTCCACGCCTGCCTTGGGAGCGCAAGGTCCTGAGTTCGATTCCTAGTAACAACATCAAAAACTGACTAAAAATACAGTCTGGGAATGTGCAGCTGGACCAAGAAGCTTAGAGAAGGAAAGGGGGATGTTTTGGCTGTAGGATAGCAGCGACCCCAGGGCAGGCCCCTAGTCACCCTGCCATGTGAGCTCTATTTCCCAGCACTGCTGAAGCTGTTCCTGGGCAAAAGGCCTTTCTGTCATTAAATTGCAGTCAATGGGAAAGGAGTCCATCGGGTTTTGAGTTCAGATCCCGATTGTGGCTCTCAGTCCCGGGCCCTGGGCTGAACCAGGCCGTGGCTCCGCACCATAGCGGTGGCTGTGGGCTGTGTGAAGATCTCAGAGCTGGGTAGCTGCTCCTCACTTGTCAGTGGCCTCTGAGTGTGAAAACACGGGTATTTGCGCCCTGCCCACTTCCTGTGGCCCGGCCCTGTGCCTCAGTGTCCCTCCAGCTGCCCCAGTGATGCCCCTGTCTCTGACCTTCCTGAATCACTCTGTCTCGTGGCCCTCGTTTTCTGGCTTCTCCATCATGTCAGCTGCCCTTTAGGCCGCCACGAGGCATGGGCGGTTGGCCCTGGCGACCCCTTCTCCTGGCACAGTCTCTGTCTCCATGGGCCTGGGCCAGCTGGCAGCTCGGTGCTCTCCAGCTGCAGGTGGGGGTGGGTGAATGAACCAATAGGGTCCTCTCTCTCCTTTGCTGAGCCCTGGATGCTGGGGTGTAGCAGCGGGCAGCCAGGTAGCCTTTCCTGCTGTCTTGGGGACCCTTGCAGCCTCTGGGGGGTGTGGGGGGTTAATGATCCAGGGCCACCAAAGTCCAGTGCCAGCTGTGCTTGGTCTCCCTGGGCTCTGCTGTGGCTTTGTGGTGTGGGTGGGTGGGTGGATGACCCACGCGCTCCCCGGCAGAGGAATGCAGGTTCCAGTTGTCAGCGTTGCCCCTGAGCTTGGGACCTGAAAGAAATTAGGTAGCGCGTCCTTAATAGAAACCAGGCCGGGGGCTTGGAAGACAAAGGTTCCTCCTGGCCCCGCTCCCACAGCTCCTCCTGGTGGCGGGTTCCCAGGGTGGGGTGCGTGCCCTGCAGGGCTGGGGGAGGCCCGGGGCGCAGGCAGCGTGGCCCTCCTCCCTCCCTCCTTCCCCGAGCATTCCACGCATTCCAGACGATCTGCTCTGGGGCTTCCAGGATGTGGATTAACGTCCTGCGCAGATTGGATTTCACCATCGCCCCGCCCTCCCCTCCCCGCCAAGACAGCCCCCCCCCGTGGGGTTTGAAGGTGGAAGTTCTGACCTTTGACCTCTGAGGTGCCCCCCCCCCTTCTCCCTCGGGGTGGATCTCCCACCGGCCTGGCGGGCCCGGGCTCAGAGTTCCCCCACCAGGGGTGACGCCGTTTCCCATTCTCCAGCAGCTTGGACGAAGATGGTTCGTCCATCTGGCCATCAAGTGAGCTGTGTGGAGGACCTGAGGGCCCGGGAGGGATGTGTTCGTTCCTCACTTCTGTCTTGTTGCTATCTGACTTCCTTGGGTTGATGCCAAGGAGCTATGAACCAGCAACATAGAACACCTCAAAAATTCTTTTTTTTTCCCTTTTTTTTTGGTACTGGGGATAGAACTCGGGACCTTGTGCTTTCGAGGCAGGCGCCGGAACCACTGAGCTAAATCCCCGGCCCTTTTCCCTTGTTTTTTGAGGCAGGTTCTCACTGTGTAGTCCAGGCTGGCCTCGAACTCCTGGCAATCCTCCTGCCTCAGCCTCCTGAGAACTAGGAGGATGAGAGGCGTGTTCTTCCATGCCCGGCTTCAGAGATTGTCTTCTACACCTGTCCTCCTTTTCCTGTCATTTCTGCCCAGCGAGGCTTTTCCTGAATGCACTTTGTGGGTAAAAGCTCTCCACATGAAGCCTTGCTGGGCCACAGGGGACCCTCGGGACCCTTCCCGTTGCCTTTTGCACCCAGACAGACTGGTCCAAGCGCAGTGGCTGAGTGGCCGGGGCAGCCACGGTCCTCACATTGACGGTAGGACTTTGGGTCCTTTTCTCCCCACAGTGGAGCAGGACCTTCGTGGCCCCATTTTGTAGCTGGTGGATCCCGAGGCCTTTGAGGAGGTGGAGGGCACCCAGGCTGGGCCAGTTCACGGGCGAAGGGGCTTTCCTGTTTTCTAGTTGTTTTCCTTCCAGCTTCTACAACTGACGGAATTGTTCTTGAACCAAGTTTGATCGGAGCTGTACAGAGACCTAAACAGCAATTGACTAACACATCAAGCCCGGTGCACGTCTTCAGCCTTGATTTGGGGGGTGCGCTGAGCCTTCCTGGGGACAATTACATTTGTGAGACGCATTTGAGGCCTGGAGTCTCGCTGGATACAGGGCATGCTGCGCAGAGCCTGCAGGGGAGGTCCTGGGTTCAATCCCCAGCACTGAAAAAACCAGCAAAACTAACAAAAAAGGAAACCAAACAAACAAAAACATACTTGTGGAAGATGCCAGAGTTAAATTTTGCAGTGTGGTGGGTCATGTCTGTAATCCTGGCACTTGGGAGGCTGAGGCAGGAGGATTGCCATGGGTGCAAGGCCAGACTGAACTACAAAACCCAGACCCTGTCTCAAAAACAAGAAAGATGGGAAGGAGTTAACTGGGAGGGGATTGCAGGCCTAGCGCTGGTTGGATGTGTTAATCACACCCACCTTATTCTTCGCCAAGGTGCGTCTATGGTTACATTTCAAGTACTCCAACTCTTTGGCTAGGCTTTATAAATATTATCTCCCACCACTACCGCCTGTGAATAGGGATTATCCCTGCTTTACCAAGCAGGCACCCTGGCCTCAAGTTAAATAATCTTTTAAAGATCAGAGCTAATAAGCGGTTTACATCCGTACCTGTGCCAAGGGCTTAACCGCACTATTATCTTGCTGAAATTTGTGGCCTGATACTGCCTCCACTAGTGCCTCAGGAGCACCAGCCCAGGCATTCTGTCAATTGCTGTGCCCTTGGCCTCCAGGACAAAGTAGAGTATGGGGCAGGTACAAATGAAATCGTTGCCAGGTTAATTAGTGACTTCTGTATTTTTTGTTTGTTGATTTCAAGACAGGGTCTCACTATGTAGTTTAGGCTGGCTTTGAACTCACGGCGATCCTCCTGCCTCAGCCTCCATAGTGGTGGGAATACAGACAGGAGCCACTATCCTGGGCTAATAATTCGTGTCTTATTTAATTTGAATTATAGTGGGTGGAACATAGGGTAATAGATGTTGCCTGAATAAAGGAATGAGAAAGCTGAATAATGGAGGAAAAAACCCCCGAGACATTTCGGCTTAAATCTCTTATCCCTAAAAAGTTGTCATTCTAAGACTTTCATCTCTGCGAACAGAAATTCAGTAGGCAAAAACCGGGATGAGCGTTAGACACTGCTAGGTGTCACGGGTACTAAAACATCTGGGTCTTTCACTGTTGTTTCCACTTTCATTTCAGGAGTCGGAAGATTCAGATTCGAAACATTCCACCCCAGCTGCGGTGGGAAGTGAGTGTTGGGGAGCTGTGGGCTGGGGTGGGGCTGGTACTGGGCCCTGGTTGTCTGAGTTGGAGAAGAAGCTCCCTGGGGCTGGTTGGCTGCCGTCTTTACCCGACTCTGTCTTTTGGGGTGTCGTGAGGCAAGAGGCATTCGTGGGTGGGTGAGGGAGGAAGGAAGGTGGAGGGACGCCCCATCCAGACCCTGCTGGGGCAGGCTCTGACTGTCTCCTCCTCGGCCCCAGGTGCTGGACAGCCTGCTGGCTCAGTACGGGACGGTGGAGAACTGTGAGCAAGGTGAGGCCGCGGCGCGAGGGTTGCCAGGGGCTTGGGTTCCACCCTGCTCAGTGATGAGATGGATCCACTCGGCCCAGAGGGAGCCGCGCGGGCTGGGGCCCCACTGCTTCCCAGTGGAAGTGGGTTTCTCTCCTGTGGAGCAGGAAGCTTGCATAAGGTCCCTGCTTCCCAGTGTGGGGTCCTCAGCCTCTTAGGGAGCAACCCACGATTTTAGTAATGATTGAAGAATGCAAATTGTGCATTCCATCTGCGGAAGTTGATAGCACTTTGGTGGATTTTTGAGACTTGCATGGCGGTTCCTTCTGCCTCAGCCTCCTGAGTGCTGGTTGCAGGCATGCACCACCATGCCCGGGCCTCAAAACTCTTTTACCTGAGAAGCTTCCCTTTCCTTGGTTTTGGCTAGAATAACCAACTGGTCACCTTTCTTTTAGAAGCCCCTGTTGGCATCTACATACGTCTTCGCTCAATTTAAAAAAAAAAAAGCAGAGAATTTATTAGTTAATACAGTTTGAGCGGCAGAATCTTTGAAGAGTGGGCCCATAGAAGGAATAATCGAGAATCTAAATCATAAACATGTGCTAGAATTTTAAGTTTTCTCCGTTACTAGGGTTATAAATTCCTGCTGGGTATGGTGGCGCAGATTTGTAATCCCAGTGGGAGGCTGAGGCAAGAGGATTGCCAGGAGTTTGGAGACTAGCTTTGGTTACATAGCAAGTTCAAGGTCAGCCTGAACTATAATAAATAGCAAGAGCCTGTCTCAAATCCCACCCCCCCAAAATTCTTTTTTTTTTTTTTTTGAGACAGGGTCTTGCTATGTAGTTAAGGCTGGCCTTGAACTCACTATGTAGCCCAGGCTGGCCTTGAACTCAGAGCAATCCTCCTGCCTCAGTCTCCTGAGTGCTGGGATTACAGGTGTGCACCTCTGTGCCCAGCAATCTACCTGTCTTTTGAAAATCAACTTCAGCATTCTCTTCTCTAGAGAAATCTTCCAGAAGCCTTTGCCCTACTATTTGGTCCCCAGAGCCTATTTGCTGTCTGTTTTCCCTTCCCCACTCTGTACATAGCTCAC